TTTTAAATCACTTTTGACCAAACAAGCACATTTTTGTGCATATTTCAAACTACAGTGTCCATAAAAAAAAGTACTAAAAAATTTTTAAATTCATACAATAAGCTTTCCGAAAATATATAGTTTTGTGGACAAGAGAGGTCATCTTGGTTTCCTAATTAACTAATTAAAATACCTGTCAGGTAAACTGTATCTCTACCTTAAATTACTAGTACATAATTATGAAAATAAAAAAACAATTGATTACAGTTTACGACAATAACCCTTGGCAACCCTCATGTTGACTACCATGTCTCAGACCGTTTAAACCCTCCATGTTGACTACCATGTCTCAGACCGTTTAAACCCTCCATGTTGACTACCATGTCTCAGACCGTTTAAACCCTCCATGTTGACTACCATGTCTCAGACCGTTTAAACCCTCCATGTTGACTACCATGTCTCAGACCGTTTACTTACAAATGTACTTGTCAGTGTCTGACTGGTATATACAACATGTGACATAGTAAAAAAAGAAAGCTAAAAGTCAGTTGCTTGTGCCGAGAGAACAACAGAACCAAAACAATATGTCAGCCGTCGCCTTCCACACCAGCGATGTGATTTTACACATACAAATTGAGAATCACAATTGCATAGAAATGAACACTGAATAATACAGCTATTTCGGTCAGCAATTTTTATTATAGATGCTCTGAACTAATGCCAGGTTTTGATTAGTTTTGGGTCAAAATCTGCATATTAGGGATTTTTTGATGGAGTGTCTGGAAGCCTTTCAATTTGGTCATATCTTTCAAAAATGGGTTAAAATACTGTACTCTGGCACACAAGCGTGTGTAATGAATAATGGTTTCACTACGGGCTACTTTTCATTGAAGCGAGGAGTGAGGCAGGGCGATCCCTTGTCACCCTATCTCTTTATTATAGCTTTGGAAATTTTACTAATTAACCTCAGAACCGACCCCAATATAACAGGTATTTCTCTGGACTCACTGGAAGTCAAGTATTCTGCATTTGCAGACGACTTGACATGTTTTTTAAGCAATGAAGTATCATGTACTGTATTTTTTGAAATGTTGGACAACTTTCATCTGCTCTCTGGACTCTGTATCAATATGGAGAAAACTGAGGGCATGTGGCTGGGTCTTTGGAAGCAGAGAAGAAAAAAAGCCTTTTAAAATTAAATGGCCAGAAAATCCAATCAAAGTTCTCGGAGTATATATCTTGTACAATGTGAAAACAAT